AATCAAAATTTTACCAAACTGATGTCAACCCAGAACTCAAAAAACAAAACATCAATTTGAGAATTAAGACTTAGGTTTCAAATTCTGATTTTGTGATTTCAAATAATTACAAAATGATTCTAATTTAAAAAAAAATTGCGAAATTTCATTTTTGAGGTACTAAGCTAACTAATCTAGCAGGATTTAGCAAGCTACATGAACTTATTCCTATTTAATCAATAACTCACCCCGTTAATCATTATTAATCCATGATGAAAATATGTGGCACTGTTTCAGTTTTATAATTAGGGTAGATATATTTTTAGGTAAACCAAACTTTATCATCACAGAATCGCATAAATGGGGTGTAAATAAATTCTAGTTTTTACATTGGATATAAAATTAATTTATTAAAAACATGCCTTAATATTTGAATATTTAAGGTCTTTAAACTTTAAAGGTCAACATTATCTACTTCCTTTTTTCAGTTATAATTGATAATAATACATAAATTATTTTCTAGTCACCATTTGTTTATATGTATACACACTATATGTCAAAAAAAAAAAAAAAAATGTTATTTTATATTATACTCAATAGCGTATTAATCTAAGTGGCAAATTTGCGTCGTAATGGTATTTATTCATTTATAAATTAGTAAAAGTTTGGAAACATATCATTTGAAACAAACCTTGAACATTTTTAAATTGTCAGTTCTCAAATCATGTCAATTACTTTTTCATAAATTTTCCAAAATAAAATTATAGATAAAAATTATAGAAGCCTTTTCAGTATCACCAACGTAGCCACCCAGAATTACGGTATTTTTTTTTCATATTTAAACTAGATTTTCGTAATAAAGGTTAGGATAATCAATATAATATTATTCAAAACTGACTTCACGTAAAACCACTTTAATTATTTTCTTAGTACCTACCCAATGAAATAATAATATTATTTTTAGTAATCTATCTTTTCTATATTAAAACACATCAAGAACTATTCAAGTTCCAGTATGTATAAGAATAGATTGAAATCATTGAGTTTATTAACAATAGAGACAGAATTAGTAAACAAAATTTATTTTGATGATGTAGGTACTAGTAGATACCTATTAACGTTCTTAAAAAATGTATTATTCCACAGTATAGCTTTCCTTTTTTATTGGTACAAATTTTCATATATATATCTTTTTTTGTACCATACATATATAATACATGAGTCATGTATCAATACTATAATTTAATTTCATATTTATAGTTTGTAATATTTGAGAAAAATATCAATAGCATCTATCTTTTACCAATATACCTAGCTCTTATAAATTCAATACTATATTATAATTTTATGGTTTCAAAAATAACAAAAGTTCTTATCAAAGTATAAAATAAAATTATTTATTTATATGCCTAAAAAAAGAGAAATTTTTTTTGTGCTAACAGCAGTACTGAAGTTAAATCTGACACTTATGAATTTATGATACTCAATACTTATTAAGTTGTTTACTACTTATTTTGTTATATAAATTAGTTTTTTTGGCTCTACTGTCAAAAGTAAGGCAGGATAATATGGTAAAACACAGGTAAAATAAAGGGTCGCTAGTGTATGTTTTGAGGTACCCATAAATGGCAACCCTGGATGTGGTAATAAATATAATACATACAATCATATACCTTGAAATATATGTTTGTATACGATAATAAATACACTTTATATAATATATATTTGTATAGATCTCAGACGATAAAGTTCCACGAGCGCGTTTCAATTAACGTGATGGTACGTGGTTAGCAACATATTTAAAAAAATCATACAATATTATAAGCACATATTAACAATATCGAGGAAAAAATATTAGCTTCGTTATTATGTACGTAGCTCCGACTAAAAAAATACATTTTATATAGCTTATAATTATAAGTAATACGTTATACGAAAATATATTTTTTATATTCTATATTATAGATAATATTATAAACTTTATAGACTCTATATATATATAATGGGGGCCGAAAATTGGAAAATGTGCCGATTAAGACAAACGCAAACCTATTTGTGAAATAACTGAAACAATTACCTACCTATATTGAAAAATAACATCTATTTTCTATTTTTTTATGTATATAAATGATTTTGTGTATATTAGTTTATGATAACCTCAGAAACAACAAGAGCTTTCGAAGCTATACATATTAAATTTTATTGGCTCTCTCACTATAGTTTTTGTTATGGTTAAAAAAAAATCTTAATGAAAATACAACATTTACTGAGTACGTAAATTATATATAATAATGAAAAATTTTATAGGGAAAATGTATTATTAATATTAATATTGAATAGCAAATAACAAAATATAACAACTAACAATCTCATTCAAAGGTCTTCCTGTTGATCGAATTTAGTATTGTTATTGTTGATTGTATCAGATGTGTAAATATTGAAAAAGGTGTTAGAAAATAAACTATATTAAATTTTACGGTTTACGACCAAATTATATTTGATAGCTCGAGTGGGTATAGTATGAACTGTATAATATTAAATTTTCAATGAGGTACAAACTACAATCCAATGTAGCTCACGTCAAACATAAAACTATTTTGGGTTTTTGAAAATTTCAACATTTTTGAAACATTTATGATTGATAATTTACGTATCGCACGATTCCCAGGAATTCATATAGTGTAGTGTCCCGCAGACGCCATGGAGCATTTTTCGGTGGAAACTTGCGTTCAAACGACGCGTATCAAACCGCTCGACGAGTACTAATTACGATTTCCTGCCCAGTTGATATATATATATATATATATATTATCACATCATCGTCATATATTATATATACGCACTTCATCATTCTTTCTCACTCTTTCTACCTCAGACTCTCCCTCGGCTCAGCCTATCTGCACGATGTCAACGTTTTGACATACTGTAAGAAATGGCCCGTGGCCGAAAATCCGTTTTTTGGAACGCAATTATAATTATATATATAATTATATGAACAGCAAGGAATACCAGACGGCGTTGACGGGAGCCGTTTGTCAACCGTGTTTGTGGTAATGTGGTAACGCACACACACATACACACCCGCACACAGACATATATCACACGAGCGCGAGCGACGGTCACGTGTCGTTTACACGGCGTTAAAACCACCGCTGCGTTCAAGGAGACAAATGCGCACATTTTTCGTGAAATCCCACGAAAAGACGGCCCAGCATGTATATTATTATTATTACGTATGTATAGGAGGCGCCTCTTGTAATGTTATTAATTGCGTTAATTAACACGCGAACACACATTCCCGACACGTGTTTCCGTTTCATCGAAACAACTGTTTTTTCACTTATCCACAAAGACGAAATCGGACACCCTCTATAATATTTTAAACATTGTATAGGTAATACAACTGTACGTCTATATAGTCTGTACATATGCCATATACTTATAAATACCTATAATATATGTGTAGACGACAACCCGCAAATGACGATATATATTATGATATGATCGAAGAAGAGACAATGAATTTAACAAATAAATTATAAGCTTTATACTTTCTTACTTACCTATATCTGGTTATCGTGCGTTTTGAAGGTATTTAGTATATTACTAATTATTATGATAATTTAGTAGCATAAACTGTTATAAGTACATTTTTGGATTCCGTTTTTGCATTCCTCGACTATGGTTACGCTGAATCTATCAAGTGTCAGATTTTTCAAACTAAGATCCCTGGGTCTTCCGGAAAATTAAATTTTTATACATTTTTAAGTCCGTGATATTACCTATTTTAATGAGTGATGATAACAAATCTTACTAAGCCATCGATGGACAACGATGAAACATAAATACCAACATGAAAACATCGTCATAAGTACTTATTGGCTATTGCACATTTTATCGCTAAATACAATTATTATTTTTTACAATTTTTTATAATTATTATTGTTACAGACTCTCAAAGTATTTTTCGCAATACCATTCTTGTGTCTTTTACAATATTATAGAACAAGATACGATTTCGCTCGTACTAAACCGTTTTGTGTGAAACGCACCTAATACTTAACAGAGCGAAAAGAATATCAGTTTTAAGAGTTTAATCGTACACAATGAGTGAATAATATGTACCGTATATCACGTTTTTTAAAAAGAAATGTTACCTTGCAATAAATATACTTATTACTATATTTACAATTTAATCACTATTTAAAAAATTGTAAGTTGCAAAATTGCATATATGTTACCTAGAAGTTAATACCTAATAAAAATATATTTTCTTTTTGGATTAAATTAATATTTTTTTTTCATAAAACTTTAAACTTTTAGAATAAAACATAATATTTGGTGTCTATCAACTTAAAAATGGATATGCATTTTAAATATACATATATTTAAATTTTGTACTTGATAGTTTGTATATTTTAATCAATATTTTATCAGTATATTTTACATTTTTTTTTATATAGATATAATAAAATGTTATTTAGGTACGCCTTAAAGTATGAACTATGAAGTAATTACAACTTTTGTTCAATTAGTTACTAAATATAACACGTAAAACCTAATATTTTATAATACCTTTACAATTTACAACGATAAAATTATTTTTGAAAATATATATTTTTACAATGTTTAATATACATCAATAATAGTCAATAGTTTTTTGACTTTGAACAACAAAATAAAGCTGTCACTTCAATTTTTATCTATACATAAGGCGTCTTTAATGGTATTATCAATACTATACTATATTGTTTTGATGTTTAAAGTTATTATTCTTACACATAACCATGAGTTATATTTATTTTTAATTATATTATATACGGCTGTATACCAACACGTGTATCTAACCATTTTTTATTTTGTATTTCAATTAGTAAATCGTTTTCATTAACTATTATCACAGAAGAATTAATTATTAAAACATTATTATACATTACTATCTATTTAGTATTTATATATAGGTACCTGTTTGGAAAATCAAAATTCGAAAACACAATATAGACAGATAAACAAATCCAGCGTAAGAATTTTTGAAATTTTATTGACTAAGGCAAAACACGACGGCTAAATCACAAGAGACACTGTGCGCGACGTAAAGGCGGTTTTTCTGCTGCACCCGGTCTGCGGCGAATCGACCGGTCTTCGTTTCCGCCGATCGAACTGGCGTTTGTGGGGGGGGGGAGAGGGTCACGGGCGCATGGCCAACACGATGTTGTAAAGGACGTTGGCTTCGGTCAGCAAGACGACGGTCTGGGCGCCCAGGTCACTGAGCAGCGGGTCAACGGCGGCCAGCAGCGGCCGGTAGTACGCCAGCAGGTCGGCCACGAACGCCTCGATGACGGCCACGTGGCCGGTGCGGCTCAGCAGGGGGGGCGCGGGCGCGTCCGGCTGCAGTGATCGGTAGTAGTGTCGAACGGCCATGCGGTTCTCCAGCACACGTTTCATGTGGTCGGCACAGCTGCCCCACAGCCGACCGTCTTCGTCGAGCGCGGTCGGTGGATAGTACCACGGGCCACCGGTGCCGGCACCCGTCGTACCGGCCAACCGGACGTTGTCGCGGAGCAGGTTTACCGCGGCCGCGGCCGCTACTTCAGTCTCGGCCGTGTAAGTCATCGCGCGGCGAGCTGAGACCTTAAATAGTGTTGGCGGTGATGGTTGACCGTCGTCGAACGAGTGTCGTTGCAGTTCCGGCTTCCGAGTTCCGAGTCGTCGCGGGCGCGGCAGCAGCTGAAAAGCGTACAATGATAATATCGTGATGGCGACGAAATGAAGTCAATTGTACGGAATTAGGCACGTGTATAACATGAGCGCGGGAAAAAGCCGATCCTATTGTGTTGTTATCGGTTATTAACGGCGGTATACTTTATGGTACGTAATACGTATTAATTATATTATTTACTACTGGTACGACAGATATTGTAGAAACTAGAAACGATTACAACGAAGACGCGTATGATAATATTATTATATTATAATTTATTTGAGTGTATAACATTATACAACAATAGTTTTCAACGGAGAACCAGATTGCTGGTATGTGGTAGGTGATAACAACTTGTACGCCATAGATTGTTTAATAATTAATTGTTTTACGAGCAACCGCCTACGCAGTTCGATCGTTGCCGCCATAGCACGAAACCATTTCAATGTAAACCACATCTGTCCTGCAGTTAGCCCACTACACTATCATAACCACTATCTATTTGTGTCTTAGACCCGTGATTATAACAAAAATGATTCTTGTTGTTACTCGTCACAATGTCTTAAAATATATTATAAAACCATGAAGATTAGAGTATGGATTCACAGAATTCCGTATTTTTTATCAATGATATAATTAGTTTTATTTTGCTATAGACTATTTATGAATTTTAATACAAATTCCAAAAACGATTTCATATTATTAATATTATGATAAAAAATTTTAAATAAGAAAAATAAAATAATAGTGTTGAATGTTTGTGGAAAAATATTAACATTTTATTAAATTATTCAGAAATATGCAGATACTATAATCCTATCGTATGCAGGATATACTTGCTACTGTATTAATTTCTACTTCGTACGATATTATAACTATGATTATTCTAATACTGAAATTCCATTTGAATAATAAAAAAAAATACAATTACAATTACAATTACTAATTACCGAATATACTACTTATTTTGTAAAGATATACGTTAGTATAATGAACAAACAGTGTGACGAGTCTGTGTATCATCCAAATTTGTGTCCAATAATTTATCACCAAATGATTGACAAAAATTCAAAATTATTGACATACCTATATACATTATATATACTAATGTACAAAGGTATATACGTTTATAGTGTGCTTGATAACGCCAAAAACTTTTAAAAATTAATCAAAATATTTTTTAGATTTTATAACATTAACAAGTTACAAGATTAGTTAAGATAAATTCTATGACCATAAGATCGACCACAACAAACGATTATTGTGATTGTCTTCGAATATAATATACCTCATAAACTCACATGCAGATATGCAGCATATTTTGAAGCCATATTACAATACAATTTTCAGTCTGTATATACGCCAGTGTTTGGCAAACTCAAGGGTTGGGACAAATTTCACAATAAAAATGCCTAAATATATAAAATTATTAATTAATATACCAATTCCTATATTGGTGTAAGCCATGGGCGTGAAAGCACATCCACGCTGTAATAAGGCATGACAGCGAATTGCAGTAGGTATCTACGTAAAACAGTGTTGTAATGCGAGTTTCTTATAATTATAAAATATACTTACCCCAAAAAACACAAAATATGTATTTGAATAATACCTCAACTACAATCATTATAACCTTAAAATAAAATCTATGAATTTAAGTTATTTATAGAATGTTTACATAATAAGTACATATATTTAATTAGCATAGTAATATAACTACATACTAAAATGTAAAACCTAAATAATATTATTAATTATATATCACATACTTGATTAAGTATTTTGTAATAAATTTGTATTGTTTACCGAGAAACGTATATTAGAGTACTTACTTATTATCGAAAAGGTTCTAAACTACGTAAATATAATAAACAGTTCACATCGATCCTTGAAAATCTTATTCTATTAATATACATCCCAGTCATCCCACCCTCAATTACTTTAAACTTAATAGGAATTCTGAGCTCTAAGTACTTGAAAAACACCTCAAAATCTGCGTACATTCCTAGTAATATACTGTAAATTTTAAAACTTTACTCCTCTATTAAAAAAAAAAACCTCTCCCCTGAAAAAATTAAACAATAAAAACAAACATTTATTTATATAATTTATACGATTCTTTCATATTTTACTTCAATAATATATAACATATATCATCTTGTAATATTAATAAGCATTAGGTAAGCCATAAAATATAAATGAATGAATACTAAAATTATAAAAAATCATTTTCATGTATAAATTCGTAATATTTTCGAAAAACGAGTACAATTGCATGCAATTAACACTATTTTTAATGATATTAAGTCAATGGACCAAAAAAGAATACCTACTAGCTACTGTCTAATAAAAAATAGTAAGTACATGGATCACCATAAAAATAATACATGTTATGTAATTGTGTAGTTGAGTAGTTCAACACTCCATATTATAAAAAATATTAATAATTATAATACATTATAACATTAATAAAAGTTTATGATTAATTTGATCATTGATTATTAATAGAAAATATGTATGAATATTGAATTGAATAATTAACTATATTGATGCAATAATAATTGTACGTAACTTTAAACAACATTGTAATATAATTATATAAATAACATATTTTTCAAAACCACTTGGTGCGTCCTAAGCGTGTTTGAACTCTTTGTTCGTTGTTGATGCGCGAATATATTTTGCTAACAATATTTTAAGTTTCCAGCTCGTACAGGCGTACAAAAATTCACTTGTTCTAATAAGACATACTTTAAAACTCGTTTTTTTTTTCTTAATAATAATAATAATTTAATATTCATTACATCATACATGCCGAACCGTTGCTCATTTGATTATAAAGCCACAACGACGCGTTATTTTTATTCACAAAAAACAAAACGATAACTTTCAAGATTGGCGAAAACATCACTACAAAACGCCAGAAAAATACCGTCTATATTCAAAGCAAACACATTTTTGAATTTAGCAGTTACATAATACGTTTGTACACGCTGTCGCTATAACTGCGGTTTCATGTTTTCAAACTTGAAATCATCTATTAGAATAATACATTGCTTTATCGTATTCACAAACAAAACTTCAAACCATTTCGCACGTGCACTACAGAAGCGTACATAATTCAATAGAGAAAAAATTTTCAAAATTCGATTAAACTTACAAACGAAATCCGCTTTTTCCGCAATGACATATACCAAAATGACCAATGAGACAACAACCATTATATATTATGGATTGGTGTATAGAAAAATGAAATGTTATACCACTTATCAAAACGATTATGATTATTATTTGGTATTATTTTTTTTTTTTCTTATGTCTAATATTAAATGCATAAGTAACCCGACAACATTTTTGTGTTCGCGCGCGCGAGACAGCAATTATAACTCTCTCACGGTGTTCTCTTCACATCCATGTTACCACGCATCCATAATGCGTATATGCGTATTTGTGTGTGTGTGAGTATACATATTATAATAAACCTAATATACTATACAGGTATAGAATGATGTCGGGTGGGCGTGTTCTCGCCCTTATGTTCTAATACATAATCGTTAACCGAAAATAAAAAAACTGCACGAAAACAATAGGCTAGTAGTTTATTTTTTATTTTTTATTTTTTGTCTACTGTTATTATTATTGTAATATTATTATAATATTGTTCTCTCTGCCGCGCTCACGTCCGCTGGGGTCACGACGGCCGGCGTTTATAGGTAGGTACATCCCGCAGAAAGCTACCTAAATAATAAAATCGAATTTGATTTATCGATTTGTGGCTGGCCCATGATCGTTGTCTATAATATACGAGTATATTATCCAATAGCTAGTACTAACGTACCATAAAATCGGTACTGAAAACGTTCATCGAATATTTTCTAAATTATTTAGGTACGTATAGGTACTCAACGCGCGTGATTCATTTCGAACATCTATTTTTTAAGATTTGTTTTGTTTTATTTGGTGTTGGTGCCGAAACGCGAATGGTTCGTAGTCCGTAGACAACGTTATTATTATATTAAATTATATTACCATAATCATTACAATCTTTGTCAATATAATTTCGCGTGGGAGGTACACTTTTATATAATAATTTAAACGACATCGCGAAATATTTAGCATGGTTTATGCTAGTTTTATTCTGTTATTTTTTCAGACCGGAGTTTTAAATAATATACAATATCACCCGGAGGCTGAAATGAACGTAAATCATATTATAATATCACATCATGCAGTTTGTGGTAATCGGTATTTTAGAATAATTCTGCTTTAGTGCAGAATACGAAATCAAAAAAAAAAAAAAAAATACGGTTTAAGCGATTTAAAAAAAAAAAGACGAGTAAGAGAGCGTATCTTACAGTGATAAAAAAAAACAAAATCACTTCAAGGCATAAGAAATGACGTGTGCCTATGCTATATACACATATATATATATATATGGTATTATGCGGGGAACACGGTAAAATATTATAATACAATATACGATGACGGACCGCCCTGAATAAAGCAACCAATTATTATTATCAAAACGGTGCGTTTAGAGATCGTTGTTGCGTTAAAAATGAAAAGACCTTTGACAAAGGACGATGAAACGTATTATAATACTATATGCCTACACCATTATACAAATATATATATGACGTAGAACCGTGATGTGGAAAGGACAATCACAAAAGAAAGCATGCGGTTGCTAATTATTATATACTTACCAGGTCGGCGCGTTTCGGTTGTAGTGTTGTTGCCGTGTGGGCCTCTGCTGCTGTAAAGACGCATCGAGACGATCTCGACAACACGAACAAATGATTTTTACGACTCTGATCGACTTTGAATAAAAAACAAAAAATAAAACATGACGTCCAACAACCGTGATAACGATGTACGCCGTGGATTAATGATTAATGTCATATTGCTACCACGTGTACTTAAAAGCTAGCTGTTCGGATGTGATATTTCCGCGACCCCGTAAGTATAACATTATATTATATTATTATTTTACCTAAATTTAGTGCAAGTTATTGATACATATAAAATCCTCGTTCCTATATGAGTATCTCAAATTGTAAATTCTGATAAACTGCAATATATTAATCAGAAATAACAATAGGAATTTCAAATAGTACTTATAAATTGATTTTTTAATTTTTATTAAAAAAAAAAAAAACAAAAAAAATTTATTTTATAATATATCATAGCACAACATTAAACTGATATAATATAATATAATAATAGCATAGGTAATTAATGTATAAA